TTTTTTTTTTGGAGTGAGATGGGATACGCCTTCTGCCTTTCAGACGCGCTCTTTTGTTCTCAACGGTCTATCGTATTGTCGTCTGAGGGTTAAATATTGTAGGCCATGGATAAGTCAAAAGTTCGCGTTATTTTCGAATATGAATTCCGCCGTGGAACTAATGCAGCGCAGACAAGTCGAAATATTAACGAGACGTTTGGCAAGGATGTAGCTAATGAACGTACGGTACGTCGATGGTTTGAAAAATTCCGATCTGGAGATTTTGATATCCAAAGTGAACCACGCGGCCGAGCTGAGAGCAAGGCCCGAGATATAATAAACCAAACTTTCAGTCTCCAAATCGGACATTTCATACTCAATGACCTAACATTATAATAACAGAGGAATTGGATAGCAGATAATATTCGTGACATAACATGCAAAAACCTGCATTTGCAAAGAAAGGAAGCCTGATGTATCGAAAACACCGACCGCAATCCGCAGCGATCAGAGATAATCTATCAACGCATCGGGACGAGAACAATGTCGAAAAGTATTCCGCGGAGATTGAAAAAAAAACAAGCGTTCTCATTTATCTTCTCCGCGTCAATCGATATATTTACGCTCGAAAGGCATCACCTTTGCCTCGCAGAGACAAAAAATAGTCATCCGATCTTGATCAGTCGAATGAAAACGAATCTCTCGAGTCTCTGATTGAACGATTGAGCGTAACTGATAACGAGCATCCGATTATGGATCCTAAAGTTCAGGTGGCCGATACCGGCGCCTATATAAGAGACCATTACGGGTGTTGACCAGTGTTAGAGTGCAATTATATATCGCGTGTACGCCGCAAACTCGGAGAAGCGTGAGTATCTGTTCACAGTTTCCAACGACCATATCCTACAAATTCTTTTCCATTGTCTGCTATCGCACGGTTCGCATCGAGGACCATTTTATTTCGTGAATCGAAAGCCGACGTTCGACGGTGGATTAGCTGAGCGGTGATATGGAATTGAACAAATTAAAGAACCGAGGACTATTTTGATTTTCAGGAAAATGCGTGTAATCGTGTTGGTGTTGACCGCGTTGGCAATCTCGTGCCACGCGTTCGAGGATGATCTGTATCTGCATGGTGAGTATTCTTTTCGATTGTCAAACTCTCGCGACGTCGAGGATCCTGGAGATTCAGCCGATTGGTGCAAGCAAAGTGTTACGGGTTTCGTACTGTTTCAGGACCGGTCCAGATCGAGACTTTCGAAACAGGAAAGCTCGTTGGCTTCCTCGAGAAAGTGAAAGAATGGTTGAAGACTGGCCACGAGAAACCTGACATCCCTGTTCTAGACCCGTTTAAAAAGGACCATTTTGAGCTGGCTATAACCAACGAAGTCATTACGTAGGAACGCCTTCCATTTTTGGTAATGTTGTATGTATATGTGTATATGTATTGATTGGTTGTTCTATTCGCAACGATAGACTGAAGGGTACGCTGGACGATCTGAGAGCAACCGGTTTGTCAGACTACGACGTGCTACAAGGCGACTTCGAGCTTGCTGGATTAAAAGCCAAAATCAAGTTGATCTGGCCCGACATCGATCTTATGACCAAGTACCACCTGACGGAGGCAAAACTGGGAGATGATTTGAAGCTTTGGGGTACTGGAAATATAATGTAAGTATCGCAGCTGTCTTCGAACAATGTTTAATAAATCACCTCGATAATTCCTTTTTGGAATTATTTGGAACCCCCATATAGGGTCATTTTTTAGGGGTAACAATTTGATAAATTTGTCGAGACTTCCATTTCGTTCGGAATTTAAGATAGAGGCCGTTCTTTCCAGCTCCCGATAGTACTTGCTTGAAGGACCGTAGTCCAATGATTAAAGCCCGATGCCGGATCGCGTTTATTCTAATTGAAATCTCAGTAAATATTATCTAATGGAACAAACTCGGCTTATACCGAATCTACCGTTATCTCAAAGCGATAAGACGAAACTCGTGCCAACATCGAAGAAAGCTCGTTTGCCGACGAGAACATGATCCTCGGTGGATCAAACAGTTCCCTAGCATTGCTAAAACAGAGTTGCCCGGGTCGGAGAAATACGTTCCCATCCATGGGAACGACTCTTCTGCGGGAAACACGATGAGGCTCCTCTATTGTCTATAGTAATTAATCAAACCGTATCTTTTTGACATTTAGGGCTTTAGTACAGGGTCTCGCCGTAGACGTAAACATAAGCATCTCCATGGATGATGACGGGAAGTTGTACGTGAAGGATTTAGACGTGAAGATTGCCCTGAAATCACTCAAGGTGAGAATATATCAATAAATTGATATTCACGATGAAAATATGAACGTGTTAACACGTTCGCTAGCAGTGTCGCACGTTATGCGCGACGACCACGATTTTGTGTTTCACAAGAAGAACATCGAATGAATTTTGTGAATATAATTATCGAAAATTCGAGCAGGTATATTATCGTATTTTATAAGATGATACGATGTATTTAATACGATAAATACAATAAACATAACTACGTATGCTAGTGAAGCTGCTAGCGAACGTGTTGAATAATTCGATAATCTTTGCGAACCCTGATTACAGTTCGCAAATTCGGATAAGGGTTACAATTAAACAGGATCGATTCTTAATGTTACAGTTCGACGCCACTGGACTGCTCGACGACGATCAGACATCGAAAATACTCAGCAAGATCGTATCCGAAGTAGCACCACAGATTCTCGTGGACTATCAAGATAAGGTATCGAAATTAGCTGGCGATTTAGTGAGAAAAGTGATGAACGAAATGCTAAGCAAATTAAGCATCGGTGACATAATCGGTATGATCAGTTAGGATAACTAACGTCTCTTTGTCCCGCCGTATATTCACCATGTCTTCTTTCATAAACGAATAAATACATTTAATTAGCAGACTTGCCGTAGCCTGAGAACTCCACACCCCCTTTCGATCTTTTACTTGCTGCATCATTAAAGGTCACGTTGAATGAAATGTTAAACACCCGCAGGCGAATCGTCGCCGTTGAAGGATTGTCGTATCGCATCCAAAAATCATCTTCACATACGACCGATTTGTTTTTTTTTTAAATACTGTTGAAAGCGTAACCGCTGTTCGAGTCGCGATACTCAATTTCTTACGCATAAAATGCGCTAGACCATACGTACGCAGACAGCGGACGTTCTGCATTTATGGTTTAAATTGATATGGGAAGTATAGTGCAGCGAAGACGCCGCAAGAATTCAAGTATACTGTTTACGTTGCTTGCGATTCGTTAAAACCATTAAGAAAAATACACTTCATACAACATTGCAGGCAACTTTCCCCTCGCGGAGAGAGTTTTCCTATGTAAGACGGAAATGCTGCAGGTTAGACAAACTATTTTGTGTACAAAGTTAAAATGGCTTCGAGTGCAAAGGGTTAATATCGTGGTCGAACATCGCTCACGAGAGAAATCAGAACGTAAGATTCAGATCGAACAGCTCGCAAGATCTCGGAACGCAAATTCTTTTTGTGCCACATCGGATCTTTTTGCGTCCTCGAACGACTCGTTCAAGCGTCACGTAANTGCGGGAAACACGATGAGGCTCCTCTATTGTCTATAGTAATTAATCAAACCGTATCTTTTTGACATTTAGGGCTTTAGTACAGGGTCTCGCCGTAGACGTAAACATGAGCATCTCCATCGATGATGACGGGAAGATATTCGTGAACGATTTAGACCTGAAGATTGCCCTGAAATCACTCAAGGTAAGAATATATTAATAAGTTGATATTCACGATGAAAATATGAACGTGTTAACACGTTCGCTAGCAGTGTCGCACGTTATGCGCGACGACCACGATTTTGTGTTTCACAAGAAGAACATCGAATGAATTTTGTGAATATAATTATCGAAAATTCGAGCAGGTATATTATCGTATTTTATAAGATGATACGATGTATTTAATACGATAAATACAATAAACATAACTACGTATGCTAGTGAAGCTGCTAGCGAACGTGTTGAATAATTCGATAATCTTTGCGAACCCTGATTACAGTTCGCAAATTCGGATAAGGGTTACAATTAAACAGGATCGATTCTTAATGTTACAGTTCGACGCCAGTGGACTGCTCGACGACGATCAGACATCGAAAATGCTCAGCAAGATCGTAACCGAATTAGCACCACAGATTCTCGTGGACTATCAAAATGATGTATCGAAATTAGCTGGCGATTTAGTGAGAAAAGTGATGGACGAAATGCTAGGCAAATTAAGCATCGGTGACATAATCGGCATGATCAGTTAGGATAACTAACGTCTCTTTGTCCCGCTGTATATTCACCATGTCTTCTTTCATAAACGAATAAATACATTTAATTAGCAGACTTGCCGTAGCCTGAGAACTCCACACCCCCTTTCGATCTTTTACTTGCTGCATCATTAAAGGTCACGTTGAATGAAATGTTAAACACCCGCAGGCGAATCGTCGCCGTTGAAGGATTGTCGTATCGCATCCAAAAATCATCTTCACATACGACCGATTTGTTTTTATTTGAAATACTGTTGAAAGCGTAACCGCTGTACGAGTCGCGATACTCAATTTCTTACGCATAAAATGCGCTAGACCATACGTACGCAGACAGCGGACGTTCTGCATTTATGGTTTAAATTGATATGGGAAGTATAGTGCAGCGAAGACGCCGCAAGAATTCAAGTATACTGTTTACGTTGCTTGCGATTCGTTAAAACCATTAAGAAAAATACACTTCATACAACATTGCAGGCAACTTTCCCCTCGCGGAGAGAGTTTTCCTATGTAAGACGGAAATGCTGCAGGTTAGACAAACTATTTTGTGTACAAAGTTAAAATGGCTTCGAGTGCAAAGGGTTAATATCGTGGTCGAACATCGCTCACGAGAGAAATCAGAACGTAAGATTCAGATCGAACAGCTCGCAAGATCTCGGAACGCAAATTCTTTTTGTGCCACATCGGATCTTTTTGCGTCCTCGAACGACTCGTTCAAGCGTCACGTAATGAAACACTTAATGATATATTTTCTATCCAGCCTTTACCATAGTCCCATTAATTCCTTGTACATACACATCGAAGGGTTATTCCGATAGAAGAATAAATAGATACGTGATAATAGCTGGAGATCATAGGGAAATCTTTTGGCTTACATTTCAATTGTAACAAAGAGCGAAGAATTAACATCGACGTGCTTCTAACGCGATCGAAACGACGGCTCGATAAATTCCCGGATTTTCGTCGCCTTCTTTGCCTCATTCACCCGAGGTCCCTTAATCCCAGCCGAGTAATTAGCCGAAAATCTATGCGAAATCGATACACTGAGCAGATCCAGGCCGCGGTAAATCCTTATCTCGCCGCAACCTCGATCCGAGTGCCGATGTAGCGATAGAAATTCCCGAAAACTGCTTGGTATACTACGAGCCAACGGGCTACAAAGCAATCGGCAGACATCTGAATAGCAAAGAACACTCCTGCTTTCTGTGGAAACGGCCAATCAGTGGTCGATTTTCTTAGAATATGCGACTGAAATGAAAACAAAGTTGTTTCGTAAATGGAAAATTGTTATGTAGCTTGACTTGACTATTGTCTAATAATATTTTGAACAAATCAAAATAATTAAAAACTATCGAAATCTTGTCAATCATTCTCCTCCCCTATCGAAACGAGCGAGCCCCTAATTGTTCAAAAACCGAGAATATTGTCTCAAAGTATGTACATATTAGGTCATTAAGTATGAAATGTCCGATTACCTGAAGCATCAAGTTTGATATCCGATGTTTCCGATATTTCACTTCGANATCGAAAGCCGACGTTCGACGGTGGATTAGCTGAGCGGTGATATGGAATTGAACAAATTAAAGAACCGAGGACTATTTTGATTTTCAGGAAAATGCGTGTAATCGTGTTGGTGTTGGCCGCGTTGGCAATCTCGTGCCACGCGTTCGAGGATGATCTGTATCTGCATGGTGAGTATTCTTTTCGATTGTCAAACTTTCGCGACGTCGAGGATCCTGGAGATTCAGCCGATTGGTGCAAGCAAAGTGTTACGGGTTTCGTACTGTTTCAGGACCGGTCCAGATCGAGACTTTCGAAACAGGAAAGCTCGTTGACTTCCTCGAGAAAGTGAAACAATGGTTGAAAACTGGCCACGAGAAACCTGACATCCCTGTTCTAGACCCACTTAAAAAGGACCATTTTGAGCTGGATATAATCAACGAAGTCATTACGTAGGAACGCCTTCCATTTTTGGTAATGTTGTATGTATATGTATATGTATTGATTGGTTGTTCGATTCGCAACGATAGACTGAAGGGTACGATGGACGATCTGAGAGCAACCGGTTTGTCAGACTTCGACGTGATACAAGGCGACTTCGAGTTAGCTGGATTAAAAGCCAAAATCAAGTTGAACTGGCCCGAAATCGATCTTATGACCAAGTACCACCTGACGGAGGCACAACTGGGAGGTGATTTGAAACTTTGGGGTACTGGAAATATAATGTAAGTATCGCAGCTGTCTTCGAACAATGTTTAATAAATCACCTCGATAATTCCTTTTTGGAATTATTTGGAACCCCCATATAGGGTCATTTTTTAGGGGTAACAATTTGATAAATTTGTCGAGACTTCCATTTCGTTCGGAATTTAAGATAGAGGCCGTTCTTTCCAGCTCCCGATAGTACTTGCTTGAAGGACCGTAGTCCAATGATTAAAGCCTGATGCCGGATCGCGTTTATTCTAATTGAAATCTCAGTAAATATTATCTAATGGAACAAACTCGGCTTATACCGAATCTACCGTTATCTCAAAGCGATAAGACGAAACTCGTGCCAACATCGAAGAAAGCTCGTTTGCCGACGAGAACATGATCCTCGGTGGATCAGACAGTTCCCTAGCGTTGCTAAAACAGAGTTGCCCGGGTCGGATAAATACGTTCCCATCCATGGGAACGACTCTTCTGCGGGAAACACGATGAGGCTCCTCTATTGTCTATAGTAATTAATCAAACCGTATCTTTTTGACATTTAGGGCTTTAGTACAGGGTCTCGCCGTAGACGTAAACATGAGCATCTCCATCGATGATGACGGGAAGATATTCGTGAACGATTTAGACCTGAAGATTGCCCTGAAATCACTCAAGGTAAGAATATATTAATAAGTTGATATTCACGATGAAAATATGAACGTGTTAACACGTTCGCTAGCAGTGTCGCACGTTATGCGCGACGACCACGATTTTGTGTTTCACAAGAAGAACATCGAATGAATTTTGTGAATATAATTATCGAAAATTCGAGCAGGTATATTATCGTATTTTATGAGAGGATACGATGTATTTAATACGATAAATACAATAAACATAACTACGTATGCTAGTGAAGCTGCTAGCGAACGTGTTGAATAATTCGATAATCTTTGCGAACCCTGATTACAGTTCGCAAATTCGGATAAGGGTTACAATTAAACAGGATCGATTCTTAATGTTACAGTTCGACGCCACTGGACTGCTCGACGACGATCAGACATCGAAAATACTCAGCAAGATCGTATCCGAAGTAGCACCACAGATTCTCGTGGACTATCAAGATAAGGTATCGAAATTAGCTGGCGATTTAGTGAGAAAAGTGATGAACGAAATGCTAAGCAAATTAAGCATCGGTGACATAATCGGTATGATCAGTTAGGATAACTAACGTCTCTTTGTCCCGCCGTATATTCACCATGTCTTCTTTCATAAACGAATAAATACATTTAATTAGCAGACTTGCCGTAGCCTGAGAACTCCACACCCCCTTTCGATCTTTTACTTGCTGCATCATTAAAGGTCACGTTGAATGAAATGTTAAACACCCGCAGGCGAATCGTCGCCGTTGAAGGATTGTCGTATCGCATCCAAAAATCATCTTCACATACGACCGATTTGTTTTTTTTTTAAATACTGTTGAAAGCGTAACCGCTGTTCGAGTCGCGATACTCAATTTCTTACGCATAAAATGCGCTAGACCATACGTACGCAGACAGCGGACGTTCTGCATTTATGGTTTAAATTGATATGGGAAGTATAGTGCAGCGAAGACGCCGCAAGAATTCAAGTATACTGTTTACGTTGCTTGCGATTCGTTAAAACCATTAAGAAAAATACACTTCATACAACATTGCAGGCAACTTTCCCCTCGCGGAGAGAGTTTTCCTATGTAAGACGGAAATGCTGCAGGTTAGACAAACTATTTTGTGTACAAAGTTAAAATGGCTTCGAGTGCAAAGGGTTAATATCGTGGTCGAACATCGCTCACGAGAGAAATCAGAACGTAAGATTCAGATCGAACAGCTCGCAAGATCTCGGAACGCAAATTCTTTTTGTGCCACATCGGATCTTTTTGCGTCCTCGAACGACTCGTTCAAGCGTCACGTAATGAAACACTTAATGATATATTTTCTATCCAGCCTTTACCATAGTCCCATTAATTCCTTGTACATACATATCGAAGGGTTATTCCGGTAGAAGAATAAATAGATAAATAATTCGTGTTATCCGCATCAACGAATACATATGCATCTAATATTTCTAGATTGGCAGCGAATCTCGCGTCATACAATTAGCAATAATAAACAAATCCAGAGAGTTGAACCCGTTAGCTTATGCCGCATTTCGCGCAAATGACACGTAATCGTTATCCGATGGGTAAGCGAGCCTCGACGCGGTTGCCATTGCCTCGAACAAGCCCAGTTTTCGTCGGCAGTGAGTTCAGCATCGGCAAGGGTTCCGGTACGATCGAACCAACAGCGGCTCGATATTCCAGTAACCGATAAATTCCCGGCTTTTCCTGTCGGTCCTGCTCCGGTGCATCGATTACGTCGCTCCCGTTGCTTTCTTCGACTAATTCACTCGGGATCCCTTAAGGCTCGAGCCCCGGCGCGTAATTAGCCGAAAATCGATGCGAAACCGATGCACCCGTCGAAAGACGAAAGACGGGCTCGTTGCACCCGTGCCCGGCCCGGATCCCGGCCGCGATCTCCGATAAATCCCTATCACTTCGGTGCGCCGACACGATGCAACCAACGATATAGCGAGCCGCGACCGCGACGAAATTCCGCGAAAGCTGCTCGGTCCACGACGACCGAACGGGTTGCAAAGTAATCAGCAGATATTTGCCAGCGACAGACACGCGAGCAAGGAGTCAAAGAAACCGCGGCGGGCCAAGAGAAAATCCTTGGCCCGTTAATGGACTTGGAAAGTTAATTAAGCAGGTCCCGAAGCGACGCGCACGCTGGGCCGCATAGAAGAATTAACCGTTCACCCCTATTTTAACATTATTTCAAGAGTTCAAATCTTTTCGGTTCAGCTGTGACTATC